GGTAAAAAATGCATAATAAGTCATCTTGCCTCGGTCACGTGATTAGATAACAAATTTATGAACTTTTTATTTTAATATTTATTTCAAATTGTTATATTTGCAAACTGAAAATTCATGCAGGCAATGAAGGATTTTGATAACATAAACATACTGAGAAAGTATTATTGCTTCACGGCTGATAGTTTTGCAATTACTCAGGGCTTTTAAAACGTTCGCCATGTTGCCCCGCTTTTCCCTATTGCTTTATAATACATACCATCGATATATCAATGACATATCTTTAATATGGTATATTATATTATATAGAGAATGTTTTATTTACCGGAATGTTAATTAATGCCAATTTATATAAAGTCTTATTTAGTTTTCAAATAAAAAATGAACTACCATCACAAATCTGGATCTCAAAAAAAGAAAGAAAAATTGTCGAGATTGAAAAATGTAAATGAAAAACAAACTCTACTTCAAAGTTATGGATTTTCAGTGTCTTCGAAAGAGAAAGGTTTAGAAAATGAACATCATAATGTAGAAGCTAATTTTAACAATAACGATAACGTTGTTGAATAAGCTGCAGATTTAAATAATGTGACTGCCGACTTTCCAGATCCTGATAACATAGAAAATAAAGATGACGTGGAGCCCGGCAATGTTTTAGTTCCTATCAACAATATCTCCGAGAATTATAAATCAAATATATGATAATAAAATTACTAAAACAACACTTCTTGATTTCGATGTTGGTAGTCTAAAAAACAAAAGACCAAATGCTTCTGAAATTGAGGAAGCAGTTCGTAGGGGTCCAGAAAAGATCCCATCTCAATTTCCAAAAGGTGTGAACGGACATTCATTTCTTGTTTGTATACTACATACAAGTATGAAAAATGGAGAATATGTTCCCCGTGATTGGCTTGTTTGGAGCAAAGTTAAACAATCGATATTTTGTTTTCCTTGTCGCCTTTTTAGCAAACTACCAACAGCAAATCGCTCACGTTTAACAACTATATCTGAGTATCGTTTTCAAAGAAAATGGAAAAAATTACATGACAAAATTCCAGAGCATCAAAACAGCAGCAACCATAAATATTGTTATATTAAATGGCGGCTATTGGAAAAAAGTATTGACTCTAATTCCACTGTCGGTATTATGCTGCTGCAGAACATTAAGAATCAAGCATCACACTGGAAACAGGTTCTTCGCCGAATTTTAGATGTCACATTGTTTCTAGCCAATCGAGGTTTGGGATTTAGAAGAACAAGTGATTTAGTTGGAGTTGCAGCAAATGGCGACTTTTAGGGCAATTTGGAGCTCTTGAGCCATTATGATTCTGTCTTGAAAGACCATCTGAACAAAGTGATGAAGTCGCAGAAATTGAAGAGAAGACAGCAAGCAAATTACCTTTCACCGGAAATACAAAATGAGTTTATAGAGTATTGTGCCAAAAAATATTAGACTTTATTCTAAGTGAACGAGAAGTAGCAAAATATTACTCAATACTTGTTGATGCAACCCCTGATTCAGCACATATGGAACATACTGTATTTATATTGCGTTATGTTTATTTAAATGAAGAAAATAGTCTCTACAAAGTTCAAGAGCGATTTCTAGAGTTTGTTGAATGCAATCAAAAAACGGGGAAAGCCATTGCTAAATTAATTTGCAGTGTTATGAAAAAACACAATATACCAATGATAGACTGTCGTGGTCAAGGTTATGACAACGGTAGCAACATGAGCGGTCAATATAAAGGAGCACAAGCAGAGATAATTAAAGAGAACCAATTGGCAATTTATTCTTCATGTGCTTGTCATAGCTTAAATCTGTGTGGTGTCCATGCCGCAGAGTGCTGTGCAGAGGTTATAAACTTTTTCTGTGTTGTGCAAAAGACTTATAACTTGTTCAGCTCTAGACCGCAAAGATGGCAAATTTTTAAAGAAAATATTGGATGCTCTTTGCATAGCATGTCAGATACACGTTGGTCAGCCAGGGTTGAAAGTGTAAAACCTTTCGCAGAACATATTCCTGGTTTAAAGAGTGCTATTCAAGACATAAAGAAGCTAAATCTTACTGCCGAGACTCGATCAGATATCAAACGTATAGAGAAATACTTGGGTTCATTTGAGTGCATTATACTCGCAAGCACTTGGTTTAAAGTTCTAACAAGCATCAATTACAGAAACACAGTTCTGCAAGCCAGAGATGCAACTTAAGATTTGGAGGTTTTAAATTTAATAAGCTTAATTGATGACCTCGTATTATTGAGTAACAACTGGTATTCAATTTTAAATTATTGTAAAATTGTTGCCGAAAATCTGGGTATGGTTTCCAATGACATATTCCCGGAGAAAAATCACAGCCGAAAAGCTAGATTTTTAGATGAGGAGCAGAATAATAAATTAGGCAACACCAGTGCAGAATTTTGTTTTAAGCGCGATGTTTTTTTATGTTCTTTTAGACTGTGTCATTGGTAATATGAATCGGCGTTTTGAGGCAGCCAAAGATCTTGAGGAAAAATTTGGTGTTGTATGGAAATACATGACATTAGATAAAGATTTGCTGCGTGAGAAAGCTTCATCTATTTGCGTTAAATACAGCATTGATGTTTTTATCGATTTAATAGACTAGTTAGAACATTTAAAGACAATCCACGCATCAAATCTTGGCATTATACAATTATCGCCGTTTCAATTATTAAACAAACTCCAAGAGCTGAAGCTTGATTCTCTTTTCCCAAACATTAGTTGTTATTAGAATTTTTTTTACAAATCCAGTTACCGTTGCACAAGCAGAACGATGTGTCAAGATCGACTTTTTAGTTTGGGAAGACTAGCGGTTGAGGCGCCACTTGCAAGGAAACTAGACTTTGATGCAGTTATCAAACTTTTTGCAAGCAAAAAATCTCGTTTTATTTTGGTTAATTCCAGTACAATTAAATACAATTATTTATTTTGAACTCTTAGAATTCAAAATATTCTTTTTTTTAAAAGAAAACCAAAGAATATACTCGTTTGTCTGTAAAACTCTCTTAGAGAAATTTTTTAGAGTCTTTATTAATACTTTTTATTTTAATTTACATTCTCTTCTTTTTTTATATTATATCAAGTTAATTACTTATAGTAAAAATATTAAAGAAAAGGCTACTTAATTGAAAAGCTTTTTATTACAAAATTTTTTGCTAAATAAACTTAGTTACTCCGCGCACCGGCCTTGCTTGCCAAAGTTCGTGTTTCTGAGTTAAAGAGTTGAGAGAGGGTTGTACCACAATTACAAACAAAAAATAAAAAATAAAAATACAAAAAAATGAGTAGCCTTCTTGACTATAGTGACCCCTCGGCCTTGGAAAGGTGAACAATGTAAAAAAAAAAAATTCTAACAAATGCAACTTGTTAAAAAAATGAAAGGATTCGTTGACCAACCTAACTAATTAAAGACACATCTAGTCCTAGACTTTAAGATTGATTTTGATTTAAGTTAGACTAAAGACACGTCATAGATTTTAAGATGTTTTCAATATGGATATGAATATTAATGTAAAATTAAGGGGGCCTGTAAAAAATTTACCCCGGGCCCGGATTGGCTCTCTACGGCCCTGAATAAATAATATATATATAAAACGTTCTTAAAAAGGTTTAAATTTTACTTTAATTAGAGTTTAATTTTTTTTTTATAGGTTATTTAGATATACTCTCAGAAGTATAACCACAATTAAGTAGCCTCCTTGTCTGTAGTGGCCTTCTTGGCCTTCTTGGCCTTGGGGAGCTAAATTGTTAAAAAAAAAAAGTCCTAACGGTGTTATCATTTTACTCTGATTATAAATCTAAATTAATAATAAAGTAATTTAAAATTGATCAAAACTATAATTAAAAAAAAAAATGTAAGCGTACAGTTAAATTTAAGTGTATCATTTATCAAAATAATTGTTTTTAACTAAAACTCCTTTTTGTATGACGTGATTAATTTTTTTTTTTTATAACTTCTTGTTATTTTAGGTGCCCCAAAAAGTCTTAACAGTCTTGTCACAAAGCACCGCGGTAGTGCATTTAACCAGAAAGTTTATGCCTCCTTCGCTACCGTGATGCGAAATATGTCCAAAGCTCGTTTCGAACCTGGATCTCCTGCTTATAAAGCAAGCGCTCTAACCACTGCGCCACGGCTGCACTAATGAAATTACAAATACAAAATTACAAAATTACAAAAAAATACAAAATAAACTTTGTTTATTTTGTATGCAGAAATCATATTCTAAATTATTTAAGAACTATTTAAGTATTTTTTTTGCAAGTGTAAAAACTTGTTTTTAAAGTTTACTTTAATGTTTCAATTTAAAGTTATTCTTTAAATAACATCAGTATTATACCACATCCTGGATTGATAAAATTTATGTGCTTCGAAAAAAGTATTTTTACAAAGAAGATAAATAAATTCTACATTCTAAGTGTTTGTATGTCTCAGGACATATTAGGCATATGCTTAAACACAATCTTGGAGCTCTTGCTAAAAACTTGCTAAACAACTCAGAAGATATTTCCTAAAAACTTTGTGAGTATCAACACCAAAGATCAGCTTATCTTATTTGATCAGCTAATTTACACTATGATGGAGTTGATAATACTTGCTCCATAATTTTTTTAAATAATTTCTTAGAACATTTATTTTAAAAATCAGATCTTTTGTCTTGCCTTTTTACTTATTCTCAAAATTATTATTTTATTTCCAAACAAAAATCAAATTTAAATATAACTACAAGAATCTAAATAAGATATAAAACCTCACTAAAAGAAGTACAACCATCAACAAATTCTATTTAGTGATCTATATTTTTCACAAATCAAAAAAATATTCTTCATAATTTACTAATTCCTTATATTTTCTGGTTAGCAATGCAAGCATCATATTGATATATCTTTTAAAATTTACATTAAAATAAAAATTTTTGAAAAAAAAATATTGAAGTTACAATGTTATTGAAATGTAAAACTCAATCTAAAATTAAAATTTTTCAACTTTTTCCGATTTATGTTTAAGTAAATTTTTGCTGCTTAAAAAAATATAACAATAACTTAAACTTTTAGTAGTCTCGAAGGGTTCTTAGTATCACAGTCGCTACCACTTTTAATTTTTTGCAAAGTATTGAATCTATTATTCTTGTTATTGATGTGTGTTTATCGAGACAAATAAAATTAAATGGAACCGTCAAACTTCAAAAAGTTTGTTTTTGAGAGGAACTTTATTAGAGATGAATGGGGATAAATGGTGCTCATAAATTTTTTAAGATGTATTTTAAACATTGAAAAAACAAAGAAACTTTTTTTATAAATGGAAACTCTAATTTGTATTTTTTTTAGTTATGTGACGGAATATACATTTGAATTACCAGCTATCAGTTAAACCATCTTTTTACTCATAAAAATCAGTCTCTTCATTTAAATTATAGAACTAAATATTTGGCATCATTCCAGCTAACTTCTGAGCTATTTTTTATTTATATAAACATAAAGTATCCGTTTAAAACATCGTTAACATAAAATTTAAATTAATGGATAGACATCATTCTTTTTTAATTTTCCCATTATTTTTATTACACGCATGGTTTTTGTGACGGTAATCGGAGCCTTTGATACTTTTAAGCGTTGCACTTCCATCTATAATACTTCCATGACATTACCAAAGAAATACATTATGTTCGTAGAATACATATAAGCAAACATATAAAAAGTGAGGTGTTTTATACAAAACTGATGTGCCAAAAGGCAATACCTTTACCAGCAAGGGTGCCGAGAGTTTTCACTCCACCTGGGATAGCACCCCTGGTTAGTGCCCCTATTTCTCTAAACTTTCTTATATTATCAGTAAATAATCTATATTTTTTTAAGGTACCTTCTTTTTCAATTGGCGCCCTTTGGACATCTTTTACCCAGGACAATCTGTCCCTTTTTCCCCCTCCTCCTCTCGCTGCCCTTATTTAACTGTGACAAAGTAAAAGTCATATATTTTATTTTCCGTTATATAGCGCATTACATGCAATTTCTCTTAATTAATTAAAATTGGTTAGGTATGTAATTTATAGTATTTTATCACGTTAGGGTGTTTTTCATATCAATTTCATATACAAAGAAAAAATTATCCTCAGTAGGCCAGTAAGTGGAAGGAACTGTTTTTTTTTTAAGTATAACAATATAAGAAGTTTCATTAAATATATTGTTGCTAAGTTGTTTATTAACTGAATTAAATGCTGATTTATATATTTATACGTTAGTTTAGTATTAGAATATAAGTAGTACCATTAGTTGTATTGGGGATTGTCTATAAATTACGTCACGCATTTTTTGACAGATTTTGACCTCCCCCCTCTCCCTCGTCACACTTAAGTAGCAGGTTTTGTATGAGTCGTCACTACCAACCACAGCCCCTTCCTCTCATAGCGTGACGTAATTTATGGACGACCCCTTGTTTTAATGCTGAAAATTGTGCTTTTTATATACTTCTCTTTACTTTTTCAATAATTGATCAACATACTACTAGCAAATCTTAATTAATTAATCAATAACTTAAAATTTTGTCCATAATAAATTAAATAATAAATTTAATAAAGTTGAAATATGATTATATTTATTGTATACTAAACTCTTCATGAAAAAATATTCGAAAATAGTCTAGAATTTTCATTTTACCGTATAGCCTATATAATGTGTATATGTATAAAGACTAAATCTATGAATATTTTTCTTATATATGGTTTTCTCGGGTATATTTTTATTTGGTTGCTACGGATAATTAATTTTGCATAGCAAAAAGATATGTAATGTTATTGCAAACATTTTATTTGTGCTACATACACTATACTATGCACTTTTATATTTTTCTTTCTACTTGTTATTTATTAATCTTTCTAGTCATAGCCAGCTTTTATTCAACTTTTATAAAATAGTTCCTATTGGCGCGATTGTATTGACAATAACTTAAATTAAATTATTACAATTTTTCCATTGAAAAATGTAACTTAAGCATCATGACTAAAACTGTTGAATGTTAACAAAATTTGATACTGGTTCTCTTAAACTTAGCAATCGTTTTCGTAAGTCTTCATTATTCTTTACTCTTGACATTTGCGACTAAAATGTTCACGATATTTTAAAAAAAGTTAATTTTTGCTTTATGAGCCTCTTCAGATAACTTAATAACCACGAAAAAAGATTTTACGAATACTAGCTGGCATGAAGTACCATGGAAATAAACTCACATAGATGCGAGCAACTTGTAAAAAATACTCTTGGAGTTTATTAGTATCGACAAAATTGTAAATTAAACTTTTTTGTAGTTTGAAATAAATAAGTTATCATTTTTGTATAAAAAATGACTGTCACTATGAAAATCCTGTTCTAATGCATAATAAGGTATTTATTTCAACCAAACAAAATAAATGGCTCAATATGAAATGCAGACCTCATACTGGTACTTTCATCAAATATAATTTGCTACCTATAATATGATCCTTCGTATTA